TAGTGTTTTAAAAATCGGTTCAGATTAAAAGTCGTGTAGTGTATTCCAGCTTTTAATTCCAGCTTGTTCTTCTCTAATGTGAAGTATATTGCTAGTTAGTGTACACTAGTAAACAGACAGTCAAAGGATTTAGAGTTTTTGACTAAAGAGATTTGACTTTTTTTTTCACCATCTTCTTATTCCTCTCGTAGTTGTTCACTGGAGATAAGAAGCAGCCAGTGATCGTGCCTATGTTTGCTGCTGGACTGGTGAGTAAAGTCCTAAACCCCCCAAAAAACATACACTGCCATTTATAGCAGGACTTTTTTTTTTTTTTACAATAAAATATATATTTTATTATGGGGGTTTTTTCACCAAACATCTGTCCCTTCTTCTTAGGGAATGCTGGAACCCACCAAAGAGTCTCAAAAATCTCCAGCACTTTCCCTTTCTGCTCCTGTGGAGAGTGGAGATATTCTATGCACTCAGGTGAAAAGTGCAGAAATGCACATAGATATATGAATACAGATGTATTAGTGATCTAATCTTCAGTCTTTAGATTTTCTGTATTTTTTCATATTCTCTTACTCTTATGTTGATTGAAATAGTACTTTGAATGCTTGCTAACTCCATGTGTTGTCCTGCAGGTGGCGCCCTCTTTGGCCATTAGTGTTGACGGTATGTTTTTTCGCCGTGCCTCCTTCTCTAGAGTTCAAGAAAAAGCCACTCGTCACTCACGGCAGAAATCCTACTCCTGATGCTGCCTCGCTTACTCCTGTCTGAGCACTTCCTTCCTCTCTCACAACACACTTTTCTTCTCTCCATTTTTCAAACTTCCTGTTCCTTCACAATTCACACACCACTTAGCAAAGTTTCTTTCCTGGTACTTGTTTTATCAGTGTTGATTTAAAACAACACCAAACTAGCATTAGCAGAACAATTTGAGAAGTAGCCATCAAAATCTTGTTTATTATCCAAAGAATGGGAAACTTTTTCTTGAAACACTATTTAGTCAGCAAAGATATAAATTCATTAATCTCAGTTTCCTTTTTAAATGTTAATTTATGTTTATATCTATATAAATATACCTTTTATCTATATACCTCTCTCCCCTCTTGTTCACTGTTAAAGTCCAGACTCATGCTGGCTACACACAGAGGCTGAAATATACTACCTCAGACTATAAGTATGCAGCTTCGACTGTGATTTATTACCTTGCCATTATATGCAAGACTTGAGATAAAGAGAACTATACCCATTATCAAGTATGTTCTCAGCTGTGTTGTAAAAAAAATACAACCAAATTGGTCCCTGTGCACCAGCTTCTGTCTCAGGTTTGACTAAAAAAGAGATTGCAAATCTTTTTTGGAATAGCTGATCTTATTGCTGGTGCTTACTTGAAGCCATTGTACAGCTTGGCTGAAATTAAAGGGGAAACACCACCACATTTTACATATAGATGCTACAACACATTGAGATACTATTTTAAAATTGTGAAGGTGTAATTAGGTGGTCATTTCTGTAACACAGTCTATGTAAATGTGTAAATCTGCTTTCATTCAGATAAAAGCAACACAGTTTTTCCTTGCTGTCTCAAAACACACTGTGACCAGCAGTGAAACATTTGTTAATGCAATTTTTTGACCAACTTACCTTGCATACTGTGATTTCCCGCTTTTGCTTGATCTTAAGCGAATGTTCTGGGTTCAATACAAGTTCAAACAAGAACATTTGCTTCATAATGTTGATTACCACAGAAAACTATTTTGACTTCTCTTCTTTTTCCTAGTTAATTTTTGCTAAAAAAAAAAAAAAGTTTACAGTTTGTTATGGCTGTATTTTTTTTAACATTGTGTATTTTAAGACTTTCTCCCAGTGCAATTGCCTTGATATTTTGCTTTTTTATTGAGGGATAAGTCAATTATTTTTAGTGATAATCAGAATTATGCCACAAATGCTGTCAAGATTAAGTGATGAAATCCAGAATATTCCTTTAACCAAAATTATCTACCTTAATCTCTTTTTCTGGATAGTATTTTTCTTTCCAGTTTTGTTGCACCAAATTGTTATTAAACATGTCAATAAATATATGATACTACAGTATTCTGTTCATCGCTTGCTTTTCTATCTTTTCTTATTCTCTTTATTTTTTCTTGCCCTGTCACTCCTAATACAAATTCCCTGGTGCTGATCTGCCTTTTCTCTACATGCTTCTTATACATGTACACTACCATTCAAAAGTTTGGGGTCAGTAAGTTTTATTATTATTATTATTTAAAGAAAATGCACACAATTAAAAGTAACTTTCTATTTTAAAATATTTTAAAATGTAATTTATTTCTGTGGCAAAGCTGAATTTTCAGCAGCCATTACTCCAGTCTTCAGTGTCACATTATCCTTCAGAAATCATTATATTATGCTGATTTGGTGTTCAACCATCCTTTCCTATTATTATCATCAATGCTTAAAACAGCTCCACATTTTTGTGGAAACCATGATAATTGTTTTTTTCAGGATACTTTGATAAATAGAAAGTTCAATGGCCTTTATTTAAAATAGAAATCCTTTGTAACAATGTATAAGTCTTTACTGTCTCTTTTGATCAATTTAATGCATCCTTGCTGAATAAAATAATTAATAAAAAAAAAACTTACTGAAGCTTTGAATGGTAGTGTATTTAATACTGTTAATATATTGTGGGTATGTTTAACTACTAACAACATACTAACCCTCCATGTCCTGCTATCATTGCTGCGGCTCTCATGTGAAGCACAAGATGGGGGAATATCAGAGCTAAATTTGGACTATTTTGGCCCTGTGGATGAATGTAGCTCAGATAGTGAAACTGACACCCCACTACCAGGTTAGAACAGAAAGGGTTTGTCGCAGAAAAGTGAGTGGTTTGTTTTGAAACCTTTGTTTCTTCCTTTTCCCTTGTGTCTGTGATTTCAAAACCAGTCTTTAGAGAAGCTTGTCATCTTTAGCATTTGTTCGTAGTCTAGTGTTCTGTCCCTGGTTTCCTCTCTCTGGACTTACTTACAGTATCTTCCTCTGTGAGTATCTCTTTTTTTTCTTCCTTCCTTCTGGGAAATGATCTTAAAGTTTTACTAGGCAAGTGAGAGTCTTGCATGACCTTTATACTTCATTTAAGGTTTTTCTACAGTGTTTCTGAGATCCTGTTTACATAGTTTCACTGTCTTTACTGTCATCATGATGAACTATAAGTTTTAAGCATGACAAAGAAATGAAAACAACGAGTCTGCATATTTGTGTATCTTTTAATTTTTATTTCTGTTTATTTAGGTGTTGATCCAGAGATATATGAACTGACTACAGCTAAAATTGAGAACAACGCCACTGGTCGCTACATTGCAGATGCATTTACAAAACTCATGGAGTCTATGGAGAAAACCAGAACAACAGCCAGGTTAGACATGTGCACACACTTTTAACATGCATTAACATGTTGAGCACAACTACATGGCTACTTTACAGCTAGGGAGGTTTAGAAAGGTCAAAATAGGGTGCAACTCTGCTGTAATTACTGAGAAAATGCTAATTCTTTCTGTCTGTTTGACAGGAAGCCAGAAAAAGATGAAAAGATGAGCAAAGAAGCAGCAAAGGTCATCTCTCTTCTCCCTGACCTATCCTTCATGCAGGCCAGGGTTCTAATGTTCCCCTCCATCCTAACTCCAGCAGCCAATCACATATAACCGAACACGGCATCAGCCAATCAATCACCTTACAGCCTCATCATTCACTGGTTTTATAGACGGCTACAAAAACAATTAAAGTCACCGTTTCTTCCATATTTAATATAACAATTTAATCTTTTAAAAGCTGCCTAGTGCCTATTTCTTCACTTCCTCAGTTGTTAAATGTTTTTAACTGGATTAAATCATCCAGCTATATGTGAAAACGTCCCTGATGATTTTTCTTTAGCAGTAAAAATACTTTATCTGGTATACACACAGTATTTAGAACAGTACCTATTATCTGATACATGACTTATTTTTTATGGTTTTATTTTTGAGTGCTGTTTGTGAAAATTTGAGTTGTTTTAAATGACACTTCTCGCTCAATGCGGTGAAATGCAGAATTGCACGTTTTACTACTTGAAACCAGAGTCTGTAAATAAAAACTGACCCCTGGTTGCTATATAAATATATATGTTTTAGTATGTTAGTATTGTTTTAAATGTCATTCAGTTCAGTGCTTCCTTTAACTGATTTGTAACTACCAGTTTTTTGGCTGTTGTTCACCTTTATCTTCTAACCATCCTTTTCTTTTTACTTCCAATAGTTGTTTTATTTATTTGTTTTACCACAACTGACAAGCACACAAGAAAAGACTATATTATAATGCAGTTTTGATAAGGGAGATTTTAATAAGGGAGCTGCATCTTTTTGCATGCCTGCTTTTGTACTTGTTTGTTGTTGTTTGTTTTATTAATGTCTTGTCACTGTATTATTTTAAGGTGAAGCTTTTGCACAATCTGATATACTATGAATATGACAGCAGTGCTATGAAGTCTTCAAGAAAAGATGGTTTGTAGCTACTGGTCCTGTGGGGGAAAAAATGTATAAAGGAAGTTGTGTCTTTGTCTTATGTTTTAAATTGTATTTTAAAGTTTAACAATAATAAAAAGGCACAGAAATTAGTATTATTTCGTTTTGGATGGTTATCAGCATTTAAGATCTCCTCACATACTGTTTGTGTCTGAAACGTCTAGCTTCTCTGGTGATTTGTCTATCGAGGAGGGAGCTGCTGTTTTCTGTTCTTTTCTCCTGTTTGTTCACATTAGTGCTACTAGCTATATCAGTTTAATCTTTAAATATGTGTGACTTTTGTTTTCACCTCTCTCCCATACGTGTTATGCGTATCTATATTTGATGCAAATAAACATGTTTCTACTCCAGAGAGGTTTTCTCTCCCAGAGGGAAACGACCAAAGATTGTTGCGCAGCTACACTAATCACAGCGGTCTGAGTAAGAGACGCTCCACTGGTGAAAAGACGCACAAGTGATCAGAATGCTATGTAATGCTGTTTAAACGTGGCCCTTGAGCGTTTATAACTTGCAGTTAAACTCTGATCTGGAGCAGAATGAGTTAAACGGCTCATCTGCGCGCACTGAGCCGAGCGCCGCTCCTCTCCGGCAGCATCCTGATCGCCGGCACGGTAATCATGTCCGGTAATGGAACCGAGGAACCGCTTGACGACAGCACGGAGATGGAGCAAAAAGTGAGTTATTGTGTTTATTCTTCATTTTTATGTTTACATTTTATGTAACTGAGCCTGCATGAGTGGATACGACACGTGCCAATGTGTAAACGATGTAATGTACAATATGTTGTGATGCCGGTGTCTTTTTGAGACTTGAATCCTATGGAAATCAGTCATAAACTGATTTTTGACAGGCGTTCGTGCATGTTTGTTACGTTTATATAGATGCGGAGCATAGAAGACGGATTGGTCTACTGCTGCAGTGTCTCCCCATGACGCAGAAGCGGAATGTAACTAGAAATGACCGAGCGAATTGTTCTTTTGAGTCGGATCTTTTAATTGAATCGTCTGAACTAGTTTAAAAAGACGGTGAAATTAAAGCAGAAACGACAGCTTATCATTGCAGATAAGAAACACGGTTATAGCATTTTATGATAACGAATAAAAAGTTAACCTATTTCAACGAGGAGGTGTAAATCAATTTTAATATTGCTATATTTTAAATGCAGATTACATTAGGTTCAAATTGACATATTTTATGCGCTGAATCATGGCTGCAACAAATTCTGGAACACATGAAACTAAAGCAAAAGCCCGTACAATTAAAAAGTAATAAACGGCTATTTGTGCCTATATATAGTAAATATATATATTATGACATTATTGGGGCTATTAAGAACGTCTAAATTTGCCACACGGTGACGTAATTGCGGCAGGACGTAAAATAATTTCTGAATCAGGTTTTGAGCCAGTTATTTAAACGGACTGTTCAAAAGAACCGATTCGCGAAAATGAATCAGACTCCACTGAGAAGAAGAGAACGATTTCAACAAACCGCTTGAATTAGGAAAACACTTTGTTGTAATTGTAAGTTGTTAACACTCAGGGATTTCTGTCTTTAAGGTGTTTGTTGCTTGTGTCTGTAGAAATGCAGCATGCAGACATCGTTATTTTCCCCCTGTATTTCGATCATAGACTGTCCTTTGCTGTACCACTTTTGCTATGATTGCTATGGCTATTTGAGCGACTTCTCAACTGCCCAATCACAGTCTGCTTCTGTATAGCGTCTCGGAATCGGATTGGTTAGTGAGGGGAGACAGACCGCTCAGGAGGCGGGGCTTGTCGGTAAACTAGTAGAAGAGACAAATAACACGCGCAGCTACTGTCAGCCTGTGGCCGGCGGCTATAAGCGCTGCGCATCGCTGCATCTGTCATGAAATAACGCTGCGACAAAAGAGAAGTGTTTCACAACCGGACAGCAGGACTGTTCATTTAATCGACGTGATTTTCCTTCAAGGATTGTAAAGCTTGGTATAAAAACTATTTTTCTTTCTAAAGTTTGTATAGATAGGTTTTTAACCGTTTAAACAGCTGTGCAGGATGTAGGCTATAGACGCTCATTTGAACTTATTTCATCTTATGGTATCTTGTGCTTTGTAAACTGTTGTATTTTATCTTTAAAATTGAATTTATTCGATAAATTATTATCAAAGAATTGACGGTCGCATGTAAATAGCCAAGTAGTTGGAAAGTTTGTCTGAAGGACCCAAACAGCTCGTGAAGCTCCTGTCAGGTGCAGTGACAGGGAGGCGCTTCCTCCGATACAATGAAGAAATAGAAAACCAAACCAGTTCAGCTGCTCAAAATTGCTGTTGTAACGAAATTGTCAGCTGATTTCCACGTTGTCTCCATCCGACCGGTTCGTGTATAGACAGTTTTCTTTTCACATCAGGACCTTAAATCTCAGAGTGCGGTTTAAAGTATACACGCATAGGTTGATGACAAATAAAAATGTCCAAAATGTTCTCAGAAATGTAATCTTTTAGACTAAATACTAAATAAAAAGTTCTACTAATATTTTATTTATTGACCCTAAAATGTAAAGTATTAAGTACTAAGAAACTTAATTGAAAACTTTACTTAAATAAGTGCACATTTTGGTTTTGTCACACTGATGTTGATGTAGCTGACAAGATATAAAATATATGTAATATTATATTATAAAATATTAAATAATATTTTAAATAAATAAATAATATATGATGCCAAACTACAGCCTTTTATTAAAAAGACTATTCTTATTTTTTATAGTCTCCAGATACCACAAAACATTTTTGACAAAAATATTACAATTATTTTAATTTGGAAACTGGAAACATGTTCTTACTATCAGTATATTCAAGTAATTTTTAAATGCATTTCTTGATGTATTTTTTAATAAATTTATGATGATAATAAAACGCCAATTAGCATTGATTAGCGATCAGATATGCCCAGATCTTCGTCATCAGTCTTCCTTTCTCCAGGACGGCCTTAACACAAGAATTAGAGACCTTGATAGTGTTTTTTTGTGTTTTGTGATGAAACATTTGGGATTAAGTGTGCAGAGATTGAGTGAGTGAGAGAAAGAGATTCTGTGTAAAGAAAGAGAGATTACAGTTCAGATGACCCAGTTTGCTCCATCGGTAATTGGTTACAGAATCTGAGCTGTTGCTAAGAAACCAATATAAGGATCACAAAAGAGGCATCATATTTTGTTTCATGTTAACAATGTAAGTCATGTAGTGTATGATGTTGTTATAGACAACACAACAAAGACATTTCCTTTGCAGTATTTGTTTGTAGCTAATGTAATGTCTTCTGTTTCATTTTTGTTTCTTTACATTTTTAAAGCTGATTTGGATCCTTGTATTTTTTTTCTACTTTGGTCAAAATATTTATTTTGAGCTGATTTCAGTTTCTTTATTTGTAGAGCTTGGAGAGCGGTACAATGAAGACTGACTTGGAGGCTGGGAATTGCAGCACTGCAATCCACTGTCGAGATGTGTGTCGTTCATATGGGAAACTTAAAGTCCTCAACAATCTCAACCTGACAGTGCCTCAGGGCCAAATGTGAGTCCACTATTTTGGCTTTCTAAATATGTTTTGAATATGTTATCTGGTTACACCAATCTTGAATGTTCACTTTAAGCAAGAAAACATGCCCAAATGCTGACCTGATGTTCATGTGACATGTCACGCACATGCATGCATATATCTTCCCCACCTCATCCCTTAGATGTTCTGCACAAGTAGCACAACAAACCTCTAAAATACTCTATACTGAGGCACTGAAGAATCTAACACCTGGCCTTTGACCAGTGAATGTGATGTTGTGATGCTACTGCAGTGCACAATTCACTGACTTTTACATCAACTTGGGTCTGACTATCTGTCCTCTTATCACCTGTTTGTGATCTGATAAGTCTTATCAGAACGATATTTTTAAATATTGTGCAAATGTCTTTGTTTCTTTTTTCTAAAATAATGTTTAGTTTCTGGATGTGCAGAAGTGGATCAGATTATGTTTGTTAGACTGCAGTTTTCCTGAAAGTCTGTTCAAAGCATTGTGACCAGCTTATCCCGACAGTAGTTGGAATAAGATTTTAGAGGAAAGAAATAGGGTTTGAGCCACTTTTAACTGCATAACAGCTCTCTTATTTTGATGATGAGTGTATTGAAAAGCATTTAGTAACTCTTTTGCTGTTCTCAACTTGATTTCTGTGTCTTAGTTAACATTTCTCACTTCCTATTTCTAATTCCTCTCACAGACATCTAAATCCACCCACATGTCATTTGATAATTGTTTTGTCTGCATTTTAGTTGCTTGTTTAGAACTTTACACGTTAAAAGGTTTGGGGTCTCTAACATGTTTTTGAAAGATGTCTCTTGTGCTTACAAAGGCTGCATTTATTTAATCAAAAATACAATAAACACAGTAATACTATAAAACAACCATTTTCTATTTTAATATATTTAAAGTGTAATTTATTCCTGATGGCAAAGCTGAATCTTCAGTAGTCATTACTCCAGTCTTCCAGTACTCCAGAAATTATTTTAATATGCTGATTTGATGCTCAAGAAATATTTTTGATCAATATCAATATCAATGAGCTTCTGAAAATGTTTGTGAAAGCCATGATACTTTTTACTAGGTTTTTTGAATGGGTAAAATGAACAGCATTTAGTTTGAATAGAAATATTTTTATGTGTCTTTACTGTCACTTTTGATTAATTTGAATTTAAATATGAAAATTGAAATTCTGAATTTAAAAAGGATTAGAATTACTCATTGTACTCGATGGGCTTTGGAGGATTGACTGGATCTTTGATTATGTTTGTTTCCTGTTCTTAGTTATGGGCTGCTAGGGCCAAGTGGCTGTGGGAAGACTACGTTGTTGAAATGCATTGTGGGAACTCTAAAGATCTCACATGGTCATATCACAGTGCTGGGGAAACCACCTGCTTTCCCAGGACATGAAGTGCCAGGAAGGATGGTGGGATACATGCCACAGGTGAGAGATTATTAGAGACTGGTGTTTACCCACAAAGCCTATAGTGTATAATTAATCCGATAATTGAATCCTCTTGAGTTTCATATATTTTCCTCTTTCTTTTTTCATTCTGTCTGCCTTCAGGATATAGCTCTGTACAATGAGTTCACTATCAGTAACACACTATGGTTTTACGGTCGAATTCATGGCCTTTCATCTAAAGAAACAGAAGCCAGGATGAATTTCCTCATTGACTTCCTAGACCTGCCACAGAAAAACAGCCTCGTGAGAAATCTCAGGTAGAATGACGTTTCATTTAATTCATGTTTGTTTGTTTTTTAAACAGTCATTGCAGTGGGTTTTTTTCAAAGGTATAGTTTACCTAGAAATTAAAACTCTGTCATCATTTCTTCACCCTTACGCCGTTCCAAACCATGTGAGTATTCCAGAGTGTTACAATAGCTATTTGTGAGAAACAGACAGAAATTTAATTTTTGTGTTTCACTGAAGAAAGGAAATCGTATTTTGGAGGTTTGGAACGAAAGGCATGAAACAAAATGAGGCTGAGTAAATGATGACAGAATTCTGAAAGAGACAGAGAGGAGGATAAAACAAAAGGAGGCATCATGTGTGACCCAGTTTTCTTTGTAGACTCTTCTGACAGCAGCGTTCTCATCAGAGCTTCCCTAATGACATCATGCATTCAAAACATTTGGGAAAACCTGTGTCCGTTTATCTGGCCGCTCTGCTCTGAAAGTTCTCACACTTCCTCTATAGGGGCCTTAGGGGTCAAATGGTCATGTGATTACAGTGGGTTTTATATGGACTGCTGAGGGAATCTAAAAGATCTGTTTAATGATTAATTGACAACGATCATTGACATGATTTGTTTGCTATCTGACATAGAGGTCATATTGGCAGATGAAGTGACAGATTCCCAAGTGCTATTTATGACTGTTGTGTGTGCACTGTTTGTAGGAAATAAGGTTTATTATTTGTATTAATATGATGATTATTATTATTATTTTATAATGAAACAAAGTGCCTGTCTACACAGAGGAGATTGTCTTTCTCTAAGGCCAAGGAATGTGAATCATTTTATTTCTGTGCAGAAAGGCATCTTGTGTCCTGCTGTCCTCTAGATGTAGTCTGTCTGGTTTTGTTTTTACAGTGACGAGCTGGCTCTAGGCAGGGCTCATCCATCTGAAAAGTAAGACAATGGCCCTGAAGGTCTTAAAGATCACACTAGTTTGTTAAGGTCAATTTCTCTTTGACAGGTTGGGTTAGTTAAGTTAGCTTAGGTTAGTGGATTTGTGGTAAGTCTTGAGATACCTTGTGATTCTCTAATGATCATTTGATTCATTTAAAGGGGTCATATGATGCTATTTTCAATTTTTCCTTTCTCTTTGGAGTGTTACAAGCTCTTGGTTCATAAAGAAGATCTGTAAAGTTGCAAAGACTAAAGTCTCAAATCCAAAGAGATATTCTTTATAAAAGTTAAGAGTCAGCCACACCTACCTAAAACGACTCGTTCTAACACGCCACCACATATCTACATTATTATGTGGGAAGATTTGCATAATGCCGCCCAAATGTTCACGCAAAGAAAGAAGGCGTAACTTTTATTCTAGCTGTAGTATTGTTGCCGCCGCCGCCATGTTGTGGATATGCTGTGTGATTCGTTGTGAAAGCGAAACTACTTTGTTTGGCCTTCCAAAAGAGGACGATATAAGCTTTGTCATGCCTAGAGCTGATCCGTGCTGGTTGCTGAGGAAATAATACAACTTTGCATTGTCGATCGCCGGATCGGCTTTCACCGT